AGAGAGCTGCAGGTTGCTGCCGCTGCGGGAATGCTCATGGCTCTCTCCGCCGATGCTTAAACACAAAGCGGTTTTGTGAAATGTGGCCATTTGGGCTGCTTTGGTCCCCAGGGGCCACGGCAGCCTGGGGGAGGGCGGCTGGGCTGCGCTTCCCTTTGGGATGCCCCGAAACCCGGACTCCGCAGTCTCCTGCCCTTCGGCCACGCTGAGCGTGGCGAACCCGCTGCAGGCGCGCGAAGGGGTGCCAAACCCCGGTTAAGATCACCTTGTCAGGATGTCCTAGCCACTTTCCCAAACACTGACACACCCGCTGCAATGAGTGAGCTCGCTGGGGGCCTCGCGCTCCCCTCCCTTTCGGGCCCCCGGTTACCGTTGCGCTGAGGCCCTTGCCGCAGATGGTGGTCTTGTAGTCCCCGAAGATTTGCCGGACAGCACCGGTGGTGTAGAAGCCTTCAGCCAGCAGCAGGGCTCCGTAGAGGAAGAAGAAGGAGGCCGTGCCATAGATGACGTACTGAAAAGCGTGGATGCTGCCGGGGAGAGGAGTGGGCAGGGATGCTCAGGTGCCATGGCGGTGCTGGGGAGCTCAGCCTCGTGTGCTGGGCACCCTGGCTGCAGTGGCTCACCCTCCCCGTGCCACCCTGGGGGACCAGCACTGAGGGTGAAGCTGCGAGAGGAGCGAGCTGGGGCAGAGCCGTGGCGAGCAAGGCCATGGGCCACTTCTGGCTCCCCCGCGCCCTCCATACCTACCCGGTGCAGAGGTCCAGCACTAGCCAGGGCACCTAGCGAGGGTCAGACAAAAACAGCTGTGAAACGGAAACAAGTGGCTGCTGGACCCTACCACGCAGCCACGGCACCGGCACATGGCAAATACACCCTGGGGTCCCCACGGTGCCTGGGTGACAGCATCACCCCGGCCAGCCTGGCCAGACACCTCCTCCCGGCACAGAGCAAGAGACGCGAGGGGCTCCAGCGCGAGGGCAGTGCACCGCAGCAGGGTACTTACACGTCGATGAGATACTCGTAGTCCTGGTAGTTTTTGGAGAAGTAGGTCTCAATGAGCTGCTCAGTGCCTGTGAGGGCTTCATGCCCACAGCCACAAAACAGCGCTACCCCAAAGAAGCACAAGCCAGTGGCAACCAGCGAAGCAAAGGGTGCCCCGATGACACACCTGGCACAGCACTCGAGCAAACCTAGGGAGGAGAGAGGTGAGGTGGGACGGGACTGCCAGGGCGGGGAGCGCTTGGAATACACGATTGTGGGGGAAGGAGGGTGCCCGGTGGGAGGAGAGAAGCAGGCTGAAGGGAAAAACAGAAATGCTTTCCTGTGATGCTGGAGAGGCAAGCCCAGCAGCTTCCCCGAGAGCCCTGAGCAGACAGGCAGGATCACACCCAAGCATGCTCAGGGACAGGGGGTGATGGCAGTGGGGGGTACCAGGCCGCAAGGTGTGAGGTGGATGGGGAGCTGAGGTGAGCCCCCCGTGCCGACCCACGCGAAACAAGATGAAGATACAAGCTGATGTAGCGTAATGCCAGTGGGACCCAGCAAACAAGCTGCTAATGGCATCCCCGCTGCCAGCACAGCCCAGCTGTGGGCAATGGCGATGCCAGCTGCCTGCACT